GTTTTTTTGGTGACTGTTTTCCACAGAGACTGGTAATGCTGACATTGTGGTCATGCTTTGGATGTGTGTGCATGCTGTGTGTAATTAGCAGCGTGCCTGTACCACAGGGACCTGGGTTCCCTGCAGAGCCAGCTTAGCACAGCTGTGAGTGCAGGGAGTGGGTGCAAATGAGTGCAAAGGGAAAGCCCTTGGCTCTGACCCACTTCCCATGGGAAGGAGCACTCACTCGCGTGTTTTTACACGCACAGTTTGTCCTAGATGTTTATTTTCCCCCAGAAAAACAGATACTTTCCACCTGTGTGCCTGTGTGAGGAGGTGGTTTATGGGTGCCAGTGGTGTGCTGGTGGCTGTCCCGTGTGCCTGGGAAGTGGCAGTGAAGTGGCAGTGCTGGTACAGGTCAGCCTTTCCCCTGCAGGGTCCCTCCTGCCCTGCACCTCGCCGCTCTCCCTGCACAGGTGCTGCTGCAGGTGTCCTTTCAGAAGGGCAGAACAGTGATGTGTCAGCTGAGTACCAGAGGGAAAGAATACTTAACTGCAGTTTTCTCTCCTGGAAATGAAGAATTAGTGGTCACAAGTGGGAGGGAGATGAGTGATTGAAAATACCACGTTGCTTTCTAGCATTAGGAATGCAGCATAAACAGTACTTTCAAAGTGGGAGAAACAAGATGTTGTCCATTGGCAACCAAGTTTCTTGATTTTTATGAAGTTGGCCAAATCTGGAAGCTTCTGCAGGCATGAGTGTTTCCCAGCACAAGTTTCACCATCCAGACAAACACCAAGCCTCTGCTATGAAATCTCTTCTGAAATTAAAAGGGAACAGCTTGAGAGCCCATTTATCTTGGAGCACAGTCAGCAGGGTGGGTTTGACCCCAAAGGGTTAGTTTTATAAAAATGGTAATTTGAAAAATTTAGTTGTTTCCTGGTATCTGCATGCTTTCAATACTTATTTCTTATTGTACACTTCCATAAGGAGCACAGCAGATTTTAATTGTCTAGAAATAGAGGTCTGTAAAGGGAAGGGTGTCTCATCAGAGAAATGTCTGGAATGTATCAAGGATAAATAATAAGCATTTAGATTGCTATGTCTGGCAGTTTGTTTTGACTTGTAACCTGTGTGAGTTAGCGAATTTTATGTTACCTCAAAATATTCTGGGATAGTGACATTTTAAAATATTTTTTTTACTAATAAGTTTTTTGTATTTCAAGACAGTCAAGTATTTGTAGAAAGTTGAAACATTTGGGGAATCCATTTGAAAGGAAGGTAGGTGTTTGCAGTCCTAAGTGTTTTCTTGCAATCCAAAATAATGAATAAAAAAGATAAGTGTTTTAAAACTGCATGTTGGAATAAGAGTAGGCGCCTCCTGCCAGTGTGTTTTAGGTTCAATTGTATTAATATTTTTTTACTAAATAATATTTAGATATATGCCGTTTAAAGCATTGTACACTTATTTCCTTCATCAGTCATATGGTAGAAACGAATAAAAATATTTATTGAGTTCTTCAAATATAACATTGCTGCTTTTTGTTCCATAATAGTCTGTGACCTTTAAAAAAAAAAAAAAAGAGTACAACTGATTGCAAAGATGACATTCTTAATTATACAGAAGGCTTCCACTTCTAAAAATATTTTCAAACCTTAAAATATAAAGTATTCATATTTCTTGGTGGTAGCATGCCTGTTTATGTCCAGGGCTTCCAGGTTGATTGTTCTCATGCCCCAGACTGCTGAACTGTTTGTGCTTGGGATTCTATTTTGTTCTTCCTTTATCATGTTTTTTCTTGGAAGAAAATTGTCTTCTTCGGTTGACTTCTTCTGAGTTGTCATGGATTTATGAGATTGCAAGGGGGGACAGACATTTGGGGTGCTTTTATTTATTTCAGGTGTGTTCATATTGCATTCAGAATGCACTTGATAGGAAGTGCAGAGCTATTTTATCTTAATTCTATGTCACTAAAATAAACTGTTTAAGAAAACTATTAATGAAGCTTTGCTGACTTAGTCTGGGTTTTAAAATTAATGTCATTCCTTTAACTCCTTAGTTAGTGGATGGGAAGGCAAAGGGTGCCAAGAATGTTTTGCAATTGGCAAAGCAACCAAGCATTTTTAAAATTTGCTTATGCCCCAGCAGGTCTCTGTAAACACAACCTAAGTGAACTTATGTCATTTCACTGGATAACAAAGCACAGAAAAAGTCATAAATCTGTGTGCTGTGCACAGTTATGAGAACATGTATTCCTTTTTCTGATTCTAAATTTGCACTTTCATACTTAATTTAACTTGAAGACAATGTTTCCATTACATCAGATTTCTTTTCCGTTTTGAAAACTCCAAATGGAAACTTTTAGAAATGTGAGAATTTCCTTGAAGCATTTAAGGAGCTCTCAGAATGGTATTGCCATAAGATGAACAAGTTCAATCAATTTTCGTATTCTTATTGCACTGATTGGCACACATAAAGCTAAGGATGTGAGTAGTGGTGAAAGGCAAAATTGAATTTTTAGTACCTAATTTAATTATTTCAAGAATTCCAGACTCTGTCACTCTAAGCACTGTGTGATTATTACTTCAGAAAAAAAATAGTGCATTTTAAAATTATGTAAAAAACAAAAAAGCTATCCTCTATGTGTTTTTTGCAAGGGAGGGTGCCTTTGAAAATCCCCCCCTCACACACACACCCACCAGACTCCCCATCTTCCCCCCTCCTTTTTTTTTTTTTCTGCAAGACAGTTGCCACTATTTGGCTTTATCCTTTTGATTTGCAGATAAAGGGTAGGAGGAACTGGGGTTTTCTTCATGAGGATGAAGTTTTGCAAGACCTCTGATGGTGTTTAGCAGCTGGATTCAGCCTGGGTCGAACTGATGCTGTCTTTGTAACTGTAGAACTTTAAAGGAGCTTTTGTCTGTGTGTTGTTGTGATATAACACAAAGAACTGTGGAAAATAGGTATTTTCAAATCAGGAATTTTTCTTTTTTTGTGTGACATAATCTGTATTTATCTGATGTTCTGATCAGCTCTTAAGTTGAAGCAAAAAGCCCCTATCCTCTTTTTATTTTATTTTTGTTGTTAAAATACTTTTTCCATCAATTGAAATAGTATGCCCTTGTTATTAAAAGCTTAAAGGAGAATATTTTTATTAAGTATGAGATGGTAGGTATCTTTAAATTTAAAAGGCTAAATTTTATGCCTGCAGAATTAAGCAAATGTAGAAGTAATGCAAAGCTGGAATACAGTTTTAAAACTTTCTGAGCTGAGGATATTTGTTTGTCTCCTGTATACCCTTTCTGATGAACAATGTATTCTTTCTTTTTTTGTCTCTGTATGTAATCTTAACCCGCTGTCCCATCAGTGATGTGATTATGGAATCTTTCCAGGCTGTAGTCCCATTTATCAGGTTCTGTGCCTTGTTTATCTGTGATGCAAAGTAAATATTTTGAAATGAATGAAGAGAGGCAGTGTTAACAGCCATAACAGAAAAAAAAATTAGGTGACACGTCCAATTTAAATTTTTTTACTAATATTGAAAAGACATTTTCCCCTCTTTTTTTTCTTTTCCCCATTACACAGTCAAGCAACAAATATTACAGTTTAGTCAGATGGATGCTGAATCAGGAAGAATGCCATGTTTGTCTTTAATCACTTGGAAGAGCTCTGAAGAATTTCTTGCATCTTTCAGGAAAAGAGGAATTGCTAATGGACAAAGCAAAAATGAGAAGCCTGGCTTCATGGCTTCTCATGAAGAATTTTTGAAAGGAATTAATCAAAATGAAATTAAATATCCTGCTGACTCGGCCATAACACATGACAATAAATGCAGGATAATCTGGGTTTTTTGTTCCTTACTATTTTTGCAATTAGTTCACTTTTTCTCCAGCAGAGAGGCTGCATGAAAGATCTTGTTATTTGTGGCTGGGGTAAAATATGCTGGCTCAGCCTGCCTGAAGAAACAGAAGCCTTGGCAGGAATGCTGATTACCATGACAATCTAAGCAGTCTAGAGCTTTGGGGTGTTGCAGGTTTTATCATAAAGATAAAAAATGTGTTCTGGATGGTATGATAGCTGATAACATCATCATGATGCAGCAGATCCAATCGTCTTTGCAAGACTTGTTTTTCATTTTGTGTTACCTGAGAATGAAGGGGGGAAGTTTATCGCCTTCAGGTAACTTTTTATAACATACTTGTGTATTTACACCTTTGCCTTTTTTAGGATATTGTTTTATGCTGTAGGTACATGAAGGGATTTACATTTTCATGGGTTTTCCCCAGTAACATGGGGGAAAACTGCTGTGTAATTCTTCCTGCTCCCTCTCCTCAGCCCCATGTGCAGTGCCAAATCTATGCCTCAGTATCTTCACAAGCAAAGAGGAAAAAACCCAAACCCACCCTTCCTTATCCAATTAGGATGTCATTATTTCAGCCATTACTTCCTCAAAGGTTCCACACCCTCCCTCCACCAGAATGCATGTGTGTGTGGGGTAATAGGGCTAATAACATGTTGCATGGTTTAAAGCTATCTCAGATTGGAGTCGGAAAATTAATCTGCTGGTCTCTGTTGGAGGGTGTGAACTAAGTTATTGTCACTGGTATTTGGACACTGTTAGGAAAGAATAGACTTAGGAGTTTCAGTTAGAAAGGAAAAATGACTTGAAATTTTAAAGTTGCAAAGTCCGTGTGCAAATAAATTAATCTGTGAAGTTTTCTTGTTTAAAATTTGGCTGTTTAGGTGTTTTTCTAAAAATCTTTTGGCTCATTATGACAAAAGCAAGAGTATTTGCATTATTACTTGTTTATTTCTTTCCAAATAATTTCCTTGTTTGCACTAAAGGGTTTACTGAAAACTGCATGAGCTTATCAAGATACCAATCAACTTTTGTTCTCTTCCAGTAATCTAAAAAATCTAAGGGTTCATTGTGTAAGCTTCATTTGTAATGTGGAGCATTTACTGGTCCCATGAAATCATTATTGAGAGCAAACAAACAAAGGTATGTCTTTCTGCACAGTTCTAGAGCATGAACCAAAAGCCGCGGGCCCGAATGATGAAGAGGAAGATGAGGGAGAACAGTTTGATTTTGATAGTGGAGATGAGATACCAGAAGCAGACAGACAAGCCCTTGTGCCACCTAGTCCTGGTCCTGGAAATTACTTAGAGCACCAAGAGGCTGGTGCTGCAGGTAAGTCAGCCTGTTGGTCTGTGCCTCCACTGGGCTAAATAGTCAAGACTGATCATAGGATGCCTTTTCTTGCCAGTGCAATAAAAGTACTTTAACAAGAGTTTTCCATGGTCTTATGGCCCACCCCTGAGCGCAGCTCAGGTTCTTCTTAATGGATCTCTTGGAGCAGATTAGAGTGAAACAACACTGAAAGATTGGTGTTTGTAAAGATGCACATGTTGGGTTTATTTTGGAACAATTTGGTTGTAATGGAAAGCATATATGTAGCCATTTTGGTTATTGTTATATAAAGTAATATGGCAATATCAAAGCATAAAAATACCACCTGCTTAAGGAAACATAAAAGGGAAAAGGAAGGAAGAAAGAGAAAGAAAGGGTAGGAGTAGGAAGATACATAATCACCAGCCATGGATTTATGATGACACTTGATTGAAGTGACAATTGAAGGTCTTTATCTGTCAGAGGTGGGGAAAAAAACCCATAAAATACGAAGTCTGGTGGGTCAATGCACTCTCAGGTTCAGGTGGAAGTGCCCAAGCACTTCCTCAGTGAGTGCAAAGTTCTACACCATCTCTTGATCATGTGCATCAGAAATGAGTCTGAGGGCACTTCAGGGGTGCTTGAGAGTTTATGAGCTCTTCCAAGGCAGAGCTAATGCCTCTAATGTCACTGAGCCTTGTGTGAAAGTGACCTTCCCAGGGAGGAGGCTGTGTTTGTAAGGGAGGGCAGTTTGGCCATGATTTGGGTGGCCTCTCCCCAAGCTCTGCCTCCTGCCAGCCTCAGAGCCCAGTTTGTAGCCTCTGGTGGTGGGAAGTTCACCCCCTCTGTCTCATGCAGACCAGAGGTTTGTCATTACACACCCAAAAACTCGCTGCCTTCTTTTTGTGGGCTTGCAAACCTGGCATCAGCAAAGCACCCAGGCACCCCTGAAAATGATCAGTTTATTTTGAGTCATAGTCCAGTCTCTCACACGTGGAAATACCATGCAAGTGTTTTGAATATTCCTGCCAGTTACAGTCATGGTAAATCTGGCAGAGCAAGTGGCCATCACATGTAGTTCCCGTGAGGTTTCCCACTAAAGTGTGACATCCAAACCAATGGATTGGACATAGTCAGAGTGTCATGCTACAGGAAAACTGTGTATCCTTGCTGGTCTTAACGCACATTGATGGCTTGAGATAAGCTGTTTCATAGCTAAGCTTGCTGGTTGCTAGTTTGAGATGTTGTGCATAAAACTGAGTAGAGTTTGAATGTATGAATTTTGTTCATAAACAGAAGTTTTGCTAAATATTGGAACATTTTTAATGACAAATGCAGATATTCCCAGTACTGAGGTGTAGTCTGGAAATTGCTGTGTTATGCTCAAATTTCTAACAGCTGATTTTGCTTACTTTATTCCAATTTCCTTTTGTAAACAGATTCACTGTGCTTATGGCAATTAAAAATAGGTAACTCTTCAGGTACTGTGCAGTATGACAACCTGGAACTTAAACACCATCTTTCCCTGAGCATCTGTTGCTTGATCATCCTTATTCTGAAGTTGTGCTTACAGCTTAAAATCATTTGATCACTTGGGATACAGTTCTGCAGTTCCCTTCAGAGGGCCCTGTGGTTCTGCTGTAGCTCAGCTTGTCTCAAAAAAAAATACTGGGAACTTTCTATAACAGAAAACAATACACTTACAAAGAGGAAAACTTGTGAAGTTATTTTCTTTCTCCCTTTCTTAACGGAGCATTTTCAGAACTGCTCTTTGAGGAATGTCCCTCCATGACTTTTTCTTGTCCTTGTGACTACCCCTAAAATATATCTTGTGTTTCTGTTTGTAAGATTCAAATTCATCCAGATTTTAACCTTTATGATTTAAGACTGTTTTGACTCGTGCTTATGTCAGTCAAGATACTGTTTTTCCATAGGCATCTTTGTAACTCATCTTGTTTTGCTCTTGTTGCATTCCTCATCTGTAACGTGGGGATGTTGGCAATACTGTGTGGGAATTTTGAGTCATAGATTGTAAGCAACTTGTATAGAAAAGATCAAGTCAGTGTTTAGCATACTTGCAAAGAGCTATTAGAGCAGCTTGAGGAGGTATGAAAACTAAAACTTTGTATTTTTGTTTAATCTTTCAACTAAAGGAGATAGTAATTTAGAAAACACTGAGAAGCTGCAAACATCAGAACCTGCTGCAGAAGGCACTCCAGCCAAAGTAAATCCCTACTCAGTCATTAATATTTCCCCAATCCAAGAGAAGGATCCATCCTCATCACCAGAACCAAGTCCTCCAGAGGAATGTGCCAGTCCCAGCCTGTCTGGTGGATATTCTGTTCCTGTCCCCTGTGGATATGCTGTGCCATCCAACTTACCTTTGATAGTGCCAGCGTACTGCAGCCCTGTCATCATCCGCAGTGTTTCTGTAGATGAAGAAGGTACTGGATTTACACACCTTACTTGATTTGAGAGGGAACCCTTGGTTAACCTCAGGTACCTTTCCTGTATAGCACTCACCCTGGGTGAGTATGATTAATGCTAATTCCTTCTTAATGTGATGAAATAATTTCCAGATCCAGAGTTCAGTGTTCAAGCCAAATGGTTTCTTCTCATACCTTTTATTGTTTTTCCTAATCCTGGCAAAATTCCTCTCCCTTTTGCCTTTTCTATATGCATTTCTGTTTCTTTATTTTCAAGTTCTTGTGGATTTAGAGTTACTCTTGGATTTTTCCCTTGATGATTTGATGAGTTCTCTGTCTTCTAGTACAATTTTAAGACAGAAGGCGAAACTAGGAAGGGAAATAACTATGGATTATTACAGAAACAAGAGATCCATTTTGTAACCAGAGTTGAGAAAGTTGACAGCTTAATGTCAAGACAGAAAGAAAAGAAAGCTGGCCATACCCTGCCTTTTTCTTTTTGTATTTTGAATATACTTTTCTTCAGCTGGGCAGCAGCTCTTCTATAATTCCAGCCTTTATTCCAGCCTTTGCTTTTTTACCACTATTAGGAATACTGTCAAGTAAAAGCAAATGTTTGTGTTGTCCTTATTACTTATATGTTTGAGAGAGAGAATTAAATGCATTAGCCATTGTGATTTCCTCTTAACAGCTCTTCTAAGAAATGGCTGTGTCTTTGAATTACTTAGCTTTCAGAAATGCATGGTGTGAAGAAACTTCCAACTTTTTTTAAACATGTGTAGGAATAAAATTATTGCAAGGAAGGAGATTATTCTTTAGTAATGATCTAGTAAAATCAATTTCTTATGGTAAAATGTGCAGTTTTAACCAAACTGACATGTTATTGCAAATGCTTTCTTTTTTTTTTCTTACTTGGCAGGTACACAGTCAGCAACTGAAGAATGTCATTATAATTCTGTAAACCTGGAGGACCCTCAGAATAGGTGATTGCCAGTTCATCATGTTTTAATGATTTGCAAAGCCTTAATTCCTAGGAAAGCTTGCATTTGATAAGTATTTTGTTTTCCTTATGTGATGCTTCCATGTTTGTTGGTTTGGTTTTTTTTTCACTTTCTTGCTCCTGTAATTTTGGTTGTGTACAAAAATCAGCACTGGTGTGTATAACTGTGCATGACATTTTTGAATACACTGGGTTGAATTTTTCTAGAGTGATGGCAATGTCAGGTGCAACAGAATGCTGGAGGTTTGGTCTAGCCTGCTGCTTTCAGCAGGATCCATCAGATCAACCATGGCCTTGCTGGCTGAGCCCTCAACCCTCCAAGGATGGAGGTGCTGCAGCGTCCCCAAGCAGTCTTCTCTGCTGTACTACCTTCCCTGCCCCTCTTCCCCCACAGCCTCCCCAAATGTCCAAACCAAATCTCCCAGTGGGCAATCTGTTGACTATTCCCCCTTTGTCTGGCATTAAAAAAAAAAAAGGCCCCAAAATCCCCAAAACAAACCCAAACAAAAAAATAACCCAGAATCCCTGACCTCTGTAGTTCTCTTTTGGATAGTTGTAGCTACTCTTGATCACCCCATAACATAACATCCTTTTCATCAGACAAAGTAATCTCCGGGTCTTTTATCTCCTTCCTTGTAAACCATGGGCTTTAGTCCTTCATCTCCCTAGAGGTAGCTTCACTCTCTCCACAGCTCTCTAGCAGGGGAGTGTTGGGAAGCCAAGGCTGGACATGCTGCTCTAGCAGCCTCACCAGCACCTGGTGGAGGAGGGGAGCAGCTCTGCCTGATGGCTCCCGATGTAACCTGGAATATCTTTGTCCTGTTTACCATGAAAAAGAAGCTCTCACTTCACTGTTTCTGAGAGAATTTCCTGTGTTCTGGTAGATGAACTCAAAAGCAGAGTATTTTTTAAGATTTTAAAGGAAGTGTTTTCAATTTTCTGCCTGAAATTGTAAGACTATTAACTTGAATAGCTTATTCATCACCCAACTACACACTGAAGCAACATTTTTGACTAATTAGCACCCTTGGAGTGAAAACTAGAGGGCAGAAATATATTTATTGTCTTGTCTTTATGGATGTTTAAAAACATTGTGGTGTAACTTTTAGTTCTTTTATTTTGTGGCCTCTTTTTCAAGTGAAGATAACCAGACCAAGAAAGAGGATGATGCCCTGGCCAAATGGGTTGCAGATCCTGCAAATACAGCATGGATGGAAAGTAAGTTCCAGTGAGCGCTGAAGTACAGCTGTGGAAGGTGGTCAGTTTTAAGTTGTGATCAGCAGTATATGTGTGTCTATGTGCACAAGCAGATTTAATGGGAATGTCCATGTTCACTTTTATTGTGTGTTTTTAGATAGATTCCAGAACAAAGCTGTAGAACATTCAACAGTAATAAAACATTCTGTAATAAAACATTCAGCTGTAGAACATGCAACAGTGTAATAAAATTGTATTTTAGAATAAAGTTAACATTCATTTTTCCACTTTTTGGAGTCTGTGGAATCATGTGTTATGGAAGTCATTTAGCTCCATTAATGCATGTGCAGTGGAAATAAGCTCCAGTTCAGTGTCTGATCTGAGACTGTATTTGAAATTGCTCTTCTTGTGCAGTAGTAGCAAATAAGCACTTGGAGGTGGAAGAAGGGAAGGAATTGCCACTGTCTTGGTGTGTGCTGTTGATTCTTGGCTGGCAGCTGCATTTTAAACCAGAGCAGAGATTGCATGATTTGAGGGCAGATTATCCTGCCTGTTCTCAGCTGTTCCCACTGGGCTGGTGTTCATCTTACATATTTTGTGAAGTGACTGAAGAATTTGTGTTGTCATTCTGTCTCTTAATTTACTAAGATAAACATCACATTATTTAATTTTGGTTCTTTTTAAAAAGCCACTTTCAGCTTTTCTACACCTATTCATTCAGTAAGGCAATGAGCAGCCTTGAACAGGCACAGGACATACCATACTTCTTTAAGAAGGAGGGAGAAACACTGACTTTGAAGTGGATTTTTGTTTTCAGGCTAGCAAAAGTCATCATAAGCAATGCAGATAAAACTGAAATTTCACAAATACCATATACTGCTTTGTACATTATTGCAATATTTGAATGATTAGATGTGCAGGCAAAATGCTAGTAAGAGTGAGTCCTATCTCCATTGTGTTAATAAATGCGAATATAACCAATTAAATAATATAATAGTATATTTCAGTTGGAGAGCACCTACAGCATTTCAACTGCCTGACCATTTTAGAGTTGATCAAAGGCTGAAGGAGTGTTAAGGGCTTTGTCCAAATGCCTCTTAAACACTTGGTCCCATTCAAATTTTAGGAAGTTTCTCATTTGGTTTTTTTTTTCTGTCCTGATTTTAGACCCGGATGAGGTAATTTATGACGATGTGCCAAGAGAAGATTCAGACTCTGAACCAGGTTTGAGGTCTTTGTAATGTTGAAAGCAATGCAAAATGGAATTATGTGCATGTATACTAAACAGATATGTTCATTAAGTGCCTAAAATATATGTAAATGGATTTACCGTTGTGTCAGTGATTGGTAGATCTTACAGAGTTCAGAATTATACTAATACTTAAAAGACTGTCTCAGCAGATCTCCTATACTGCTCTTCTCAGAAGCTGAATTCTACTTTGTCTTATAGATACTGTTCCAAATGCTTGAGTACTCTGCATATTAGAGAATTACAGTGTTGGGTGTTGTAGCTGTAATGCCCTGAACCAGGCAAGATGGTTAGGAAAATGGTTTTTTAAATAGTTAAATGACGTATGATAATGTCTCATTGTCATGGTTATAGAGAGAAGCTCTCTCCTTGAAAGTCCCCTTCAATATATAAATGCTTGGTCGATGGAAGAGATGGTCCAGAGTGGCTGTTCACCATCCTGATTGTGACTCTACACAAATGTTTTATTTCAGCTTTGAAGTGGTTCGCTCCTGATGTTTGTGACCATATTTGGAGGGGGCAGAATAGATCTCAAAGTAGTTGCTGAAGTCAAGATTTTACCTTTATTGGAAATGATGGACTTAGGGCTCAAGAAGCATATGTCATTGAGTTCTTACTTAGGTTTGTTTTGCAGTTTTTGCATATAGTGAAGTCTGCCTAAAGATCAGTTGCTACTGACTGATTTTGTGTTTGAGTGAATTGGCTTATTGAGAGCTCAGCATCTTACTCATCATGGCTCTCAGAGGGTGTAGGTCTTTGGTACTGAAATTGTTAATGAATCAAGAAAACACTTTGGCTTTACTGTGTGAAAGCCACATTAATCTTTAAAGCTGCAACAGTTTAATTTTTTTCTTTAGTAGTGTTCAGGCAAGGTGTTTTACAATTTTTTAATAAATTTTTAGAATTTATTATTGTAAAGTACTGTGTTACATTCATGACTTGAATAGTTATATTACTGGAAGTTCCCTCAGTGCTGGTCTGAGCAGGGACATCTTTGTGCTGTTGCTGATCAGTCAGGAAACAAGTACACCAGGCCCAGGTGGCTGAGCTAGGTGGGATATGGGATATGGGGCAAAGCTCTGCTGAGCATATTGGTCAGAATCTTTAGCTTAACCAGCAAGACATCAATTAAAATTTTGATTTTCATGTTGTCCCCTAAGACACTGAAATATTCTGAGGAAATAGGTAGTAAGGGAAGTTTCATCTTCATACATTCATGATCTTGATGTTTATTATTTGTATATTTTGTCAACTATTCCAAATAAAGTTTCAGTCAGACAATCTACATTACCACATGGACAAGATAAATTCACCTAGTTGTGAGGTAAATCCTGCCCCAAAGCTCACAGCACAGGAGTTAGACTTGTATGTCTTGATTTATTTTGACTTATTATGATGGTTCTTTTAAATTACTCATTGTACTAGATTAAGATGTCTTCTTCAGTAGCAATAGTTTAAGGACACTCTTCATATGCATCGGGATTTAAAAAAAATATTAAAAATCTGAATCTTCCAAATTAGACTAATTCAATTCTTTACAATTATCACAGAGGATTCCAATGTTAATATTAAAACCTAGGGTTTCAATGGATGTGTAAAACATATCAGCTTTTCTTTTGAGTGCATATTTTTTCTCTGTTTAAAAGAAATGTCAATCTTATAATAAAAGCACAGCTGCTGTTTCCTGGATTTAACAGGAGACAGTTGTAAATGCTGCATCATAACCTCTGACAATAGTGATTCCTGATAGAAGTGTTGTACCACGACAAATGTTCACACTTTTCCACTTGTACTGACATATGATGCTGCAGGTAGAGTGCATTCCTGTTTCCTGATAAGCAATTGGCTCTAAATTTTCCTCCTTTTTTTGAGTAAGTTTTATATTCTTGACTTCTGTGCCAATGGAAAGATCTGTGTCTTTAACAGGAGGTACTTTGGTCAGACTTTGTAATATAAATCTGAAAAGGTTATGTCTTGAAAAGGTTAATACTTCAAGTTTTTAGAGTAAATCATGAGCAAGGTAGCTGCCAGGTGTGGGAGACTGCCAGTGACTGGTGGTGATGAGTCATAAAACACCATTGTGTAACACAGTTTCTTCCTGCTTTGGTCTGACCTGTTCTGCTGGAAGTAGTGACATTTTCATTTGATTCTTGCCATGTTTTAGCATTTTTTACCATGTCCCTGGGGACAAATGGCAAGCTTAAATTGGAAGGATGATGTTTCTCAGTGCAGATGTGCATTCACAGTTAGAGTTTAAACTTCCTTTGAAGTTCTAAATAATTTTGTGGGATTTGGACAAAACAGTGCCATTTGAGTAGCACATGTTTCTAAAAGGATCATGGTGTGTACCAGTAACACTGTCCTTTTTTAGTACTCTGTTTCAACAAAGACAATCCACTTTGGCTATTTGAATATTGAATTTAATTCAAAATTTTTAATGTGCATACAGAAATCTGTACAATTCTTTGTAGCATATCCTGACTAAGCTTTCCAGTGTCTGAACAAACATACATTTCAGTGTAGCTTTTTTTATTTTGGTTTAATTCTTGCAGAGGAAATGATTTATGATGATGTTGAAAATGGTGATGATGGTGGAAACAGCTCACTGGAATACGGGTGGAGTTCAAGTGAGTTTGAAAGCTATGAAGAACAGAGTGATTCTGAGTGTAAAAATGGAATTCCCAGCTCCTTTTTGCGAGGCAACCACAAGAGACATGTATGTATCCTGCAGTGCTGCTCAGTCATTGAGGTTGTCCTGGTTTCCAACACTTCCCTTTCTCACCTGCATTTCTTTTTTTCCTCAATTCAGTTTCCAATGCCAACAGCATCTTTTTAAAGGAGATATGAGTCAGTGTGGAAGTGGCAGTACATAACAAAATGTAACTGGGAAAAGGAGATACGAAAATATTAAACAGAAGTTTCGTACAAAACCAGATGCAACTCAAATTGGACAAAAACAAAACTAAAAATGAGATTGTTTTTGCTTATGGGCAGTTCCTTACCCTCTCTTCTTTTGCACTTGCTGGATTAGTGTAAGTGGTAAAAAAGTGTGGAAAATAATGTGAAAAATAAATGGGGACAAGTGTGACAAGAATGGATGGTTTGGGATCTTTAGATGCTCAAAAGTCACAAAACTCTTTGCCAGTGTTCCCTAGCTTTCTGTCTTAGATCTGCATCAGTTTGCTTGTTTGAAAGTGACTGAACTTAAAGAACTTCTGGAAGTAAAAGATTTTTATAATCAAAGAGAGTTCTACCTGTTAGGAGAGAAGAGAAGTGGCATGATTAAAATGACCCATCTGAGCCACTTCCCAGGTCTTGTGCCTTTGGCTCCATGTGTTCTGCAGGAGGCAGGAAGTCACAGGTGACACAGGTGCCTGTCCTCACTGCTCCTCTCCCATTGCACAGGGAGAGAGGCCCTGGGCTCTTGCCTTCTCTTCGTCTTGGCTCCTCTTCTTCTGCCCTTGAGTGCCCTCTTTGTGAGAGGCTCCCAGTGTGTGGTGACTGGGGACTCACCCCCAAGAGCCACGTGGCAGCTGTGTGTTGTGAGCTGCCTCAGCACCCCGTGGCTGGAATGTGCAGGGGTTGCAGACAGGGGGTTATTTCATGGGACCCTCATTTTCATTTTACAGGTTTCTTAACTTGATGAGAATAAAAACCTTGTTGTCTGTGTTTCCCTCCAGTACATGCAATCTGCTCTCCTCTCACCTCCTTCCTTGCTGCACATCCTTTGGAAATCAGGGAATGAGCAATTAACTGCAAGACTTGAGCCCTCCCAAATCTGCACTTTGTAAGCTGAGTGCTCGTCCTCTGGTTTTGTCTTGGTTTTATTCTGACTAGAACAATCTTAAGCTGTTGCAGCTGTTTGTTTGGGAGTTTTTTCTAACAAGACTGAAAAAATGGAGTTTGATTTTTTTTTTTTTTTTTGCTTTAAATACTTTGGAAGAGACTAGGGAATTACTTTGCATGTGAGTGTGTAAGCATTAACATGGCTGCTGACTTATTATTTTTATTTTGTGTTTTAATCTTCTCTTGTTATCCCTAGCTTCAGCTTTGGCCCATAGTCATAGGAATCTATTTGCATATGTGAACAAAGCAAGGTTTAAAGCCATTTTTTTGGAACTCTTAAAAGTATACTTTGATCTGTCACGGAAAACTGTTGGCAGTGGTTGAATGTGATTGCGCCAGGATCAAGCACAGAGTGTCTGAGCAAGAGACTGAGGAGTGAGGAGAGAAGAGGGGTGTGCCCTTGGGTACTGCCATGCAGATGGCTTTTTCAGGCCTGACAAAAGGTTTTGGGGATTGCCTTGTGAGGATGGGTGTGAGGAGGTGAGGAACACTTAAGCTGGTGGATGGAAAAGTCAGATAGGCTCCTGCACCTGGATGGGTTGCTGGGAGATGGAGAAATTAGGAAATTAGGGAAGGGTTTTGGCAGAGAGTGAGGAAGGAAACTTTAGGATTGCCAAAAAAACACTTGCAACAAACAGCCAAGAAAACAACAACAACAAATAAACCACAAAAAAAAAAATCCCAAAAAACCCAAAAAGCCAACCCCAGCCCTCCCTGCATTGGCATTTCAGCACGGGAAGACCCTGCTCTTCTTTATGTACATTTTCTCTGTATCCATTCCTTGTACTAACTTTCACTTCTCCTCAGGTCCTGTGATGGATATTACAGTCTATTCCCAGCACATCACCTTCTGTAGCCTTTCAGAGCCTGTGAGGGACTTGCCCTACTTATAATTTTAATGTTAGTTGAAAAGAATGGCAAGGTTGGAAGTGGGATATTTAATTTTAAGTGCTGGTATGACTTCCCTCAAAGTCACCTTTTCATTATAATTCTTGTTATTCTATTTATTTACTATTTTATTTTAAGAAGGAAAGTTTTTGTGCTGTTACATATTTCTTGTCTGTGAACCAGAAACTATTATACTGCTGTAATGCCAGAATCATGATGTTAGAGGTAATTGCATCCTGACCCAGCCTAGTGGAACTGGGCCTGTCGCTTTGTTTTCTGCTCAGTAGGTCTTCTCTTTCCTGAGGCTTTGATCTCTTGCCAAATAACTCTTTGTTGATATCAAGCTGAGGGGTTTTCCACTGGACTTCTATTATAGGACACACCAAATATTTTCCTTCTTTTTTTTTTTCTTCTTTCCTAGTTGTGTTTCAACCTCTTTTATCTACCTTTGTCAAAATGTTTAACAAATGGTAATTAATGTTCCAGAGCATTCCTTTCTGTGTGATAGTTTCCTTACCTTGCAAATTAATATATTCATGTATGAGATGGTTACACCCAAGTTCATACAGTGAGACTGTGATGCATGTGGAAACCGCAAGAACATGAATCCTGTCAGTGTCTCCTTACCTGACTCACTGCCCTGTCAGTTTCCGTATTCTCAGGTGCCAGCAATCTCCACAGGTTCTTCAGTCTCTGAGATTTCTTCTGATTCACTGTTTTGAAGGCTAGTGTGAAATATAGGCTAGGTTTTGTGCTCCAGTGAATAGTGCTTATGGTTAAGGCTGATGTATTGTTTCCATGTGGTTTTTAAGAGATAGGCACAATACAATTAACATGTATAACAATTTAGTTGCCTTAGTCTAAGTGGCTTTGCCCGTGTCTTTACAGAAAAGCGCCTGGCGGAGCTCAGCAGTGCCCAGGAGCGATGGTCCCTTCCTCAGACTGGAGCTTCCCTCAGTGATAGCTTTCCCTCAGTGATAGCTTTCCCTTAGCTGTCTTTGTGTCAGTAGATAGATGGGGCAATGTGCATGATTTATGTGAGTGCTTTAGCATGAAGTTTTCACTATGGCTTTTTGAAAAGATTGTGTCTTTTTATATACTGTAGCTTTCTCATGACCTAACGCGTTTAAAGGAGCATTATGAAAAAAAGGTGAAAGATTTGATGTCAAACACTGTGGGAGCAGTAGAGATTCAGCAACTAAAGCAAAAACATGAGCTGAAGGTAGTGTAGTTGATTTTTGTAACTACCTACATTTAAATAATTGCTTTTCCAACACAGACAATGTTGTCTTTTATTAATAGCTTAAAAAGTAGACAATAATTTGTATGAAATGAATTCTGAATGTGCTGAATTTTTATTGTGCAGTGTTAAGTTAAAGACTGCAATATTGCTATATTCTTAAAAATACTTGGTCAAGGACCTTTTCTCATGCTTACTTTTAATGTTAGCAGTCTCAGAAAATGAGATAGGGCACTGTCTCTCCCTGATGACTGGTGCCCTTACCTCAGAGTGTGAGCCAGGTGTACAACCCTAGTGTCTCTCTGAGACCATGGCTCCATGGGGCTAGCCTAGCCCTAGCTCTGCAGCCACACTGGATCAAATTGGGAATCTCCCTGCTCTTGATTCTGAATGGAACTGGTATGAAAAGACTGGGTTTTTGCAAAAGGCTTCAGTCTCAAACCCAGAAATTGCCTGATTGCAGCAAGGCAGCTTTGTTTGTGTTCTGACAGTAGTGGGGATTTTTTGTTGTAGTGACATTTTGGGAAAGAAGTACAAAGCAGGGTATTTTAATAAGCATTTTCCAGCAAAGCAAAATTCTTTGGTGTTTTGTTTTTTGTTTCGTGAAATTTTGTTTGACTGTAGTAGTTTACTGTTAGATTATGGAATTCTTATTAAATCAATGCATTTCTTCAGTGAATGAAGTTATTAGTTGTAACTTTTTCCTTCATAGCAGTGTTTGTTTAAGAATATAGTTAATATATAACTGAGTCTAGGGGATTATCTTTAGGTCAGAAATGCTTTGGAAGAGTTATTTGGACACTGAAAGATGGACAAGACCTCTGGCCAGTAATGACCTGTGAGTAGTAGGTATTTGTTCTGTAAGATAACATTTGAGACTATTTAAAGTTTGTTTGAATGCAGAAGAGTTCTTAAACATTTCTGCTCTTTTAGACTTGCATACAGTATTGACATGAAGTAAGTCCTTGTCTCCAATTTTTATTTTATTTTGAAATACAGGAGCTTGGCTCTGAGCTTTCATGGTTCTCTCTACTTATTGTACAGTCATTTGACTTTGGACAATATTGATAGCCTTAAAGTGTGCGGGCTCAGATGCTTTCCTGTTATTCACTGAACATGTAGACTGTATTTTTTATCTTGCAGATGCAAAAGCTCATGAGAGCTGCTAGAGAAGGTACCAAAGACGGACTTGAAAAGACAAAAGCAGCTGTGAAGAAGGGTCGTTCCTTTATTCGGACAAAATCTTTCATTTCTCAAGGTATATGCTATTTACAGTGTTTCTCTTTGTTACGTTCTCTAGTAATTTCTGAGAAGGAAGATGAATGGCCTAGCAATTTTTTGTAGTGGGAGCTGAGAGCTAGATGCAAGAAATCAGATATATATTAAAAATGTATGGTATAATATTCAGTTCAGATGACAGTATGGTCAATGCATCTTGAGCAGTTTTTTCTGTTTGGGGCAAGAACCTGAGTGACCTGAGAAGCTGAGGACCACAGAGAAGGATCCATTTAAGAACAATAACAACAAGTCCCACCAAGCAGTGTGATCTAGGTACTGGTAGATGGGAGAATGGAAGTGATGTTAAGTTACTGTCATGGTGTAATCCCAGCCAGCAGCCAAGCCCCACACAGCCACTTGCTCAATCCCCTACCACCAGGACTGGGGAGAGAATTAGAAGGATAAGAGTGAGAACTTGTGGGTTGAGATAAAGACAGTGTAATAGTGAACATAAAATCCATACACGAGCAAAGAAAGACACGGAACTAGTTCACTGCTTCTCAAGGAAGGCAGGTGCTTATCCATGTCCAGGAGAGAAGGGCCCCATCACGCACAGTGGTTACTTGGAACACAAAGACCATTGCTCCGAACATCCCCTCCCCTTACTCCTCTTTCCTCCCACTTCATATATGGAGCAGGATGTCATATGGTCTGGAATATCCTTTTAGTCAATTTGGATGACCTGTCCTGGCTGTGTCTTCTCCCAACCTGCCATGCACCCTCACCAGCATGGCAGTATGAAAAGCAGAAAAGGCCTTGGCTCTGTGTATACCCTGTTCAGCAATAAAAAAAAAAAATCTCTGTATTATCGACCCCTGTGTCCAAATCCAAAATGTAGCTCCATACTAGCCACTGTGGAGAAAATTAATTCTACCCCAGTCAAAATCAGCCCAGTTACTAAGTCTGTCCAGGTCTCTCCATCAAATAACTCTTGAATGTGAGGAGAATGTGCTGTTAAGACATGGCTTTCAGTGGAGAAGTAGCTGAGTATTTTAAAAAGTTCGTCACTGGTAAGGAGTAATGCTTTCCATGCTTAAGAGTGAGTGAAAGCAGGGGGAAAGACTGTACTGCTTAATCAGTTTGATGATTTTTGATGAAAGCTGAATTTGGGTTGAGAAAACAGAAAGTGGTGTAAAATCAAAAAGCCACAGAAGTATTTGTGTTCTTTCTGTAGCTCAGAGCAAGTGACAATCCTTTGTCATGAGCCATGGCAGCAGCTGTCCACAGGTAGTTTTTTCAAGAGACAAGTGGTAAATTAAACTAGTTTCTTTTTCAGGATAACTCTGAGAGATAGTGTATCTTTCTGCTCAAGTGTCTGCCCAACTAATTTAATGGTAGTAACTTCAGAGTTTATAAAACTACAATTTTAGGAAGCTAAAACCACAAGGCTGGAACAAATTTTTTTTTTGAGAGAAGCAACATAAAGTTGCTGTATGGGCCAGGACACATCTTACATCTCTGTCATGACCTCTGACTGCTTCTCAATCTACTTAATTCACAGCTTGAATATAGAAAGGTACACAAAATGAGGTGATCAAAACTTCTTGCAGTTGAACAGATGAAAATGATCTGCAGGACAGGGTTACAATGGACCTGGCATTCCTTCTTACATTTCTGGAGATTAGATTGCAGACCCAGTGTACCTGTGGATGGCTGAATCTCATAACCACTTTCCAAATCAGCAGGGAGCTAGTGAAAAATTTCTTAACTAAACTCACAAGTTTCTCCCAGATGTTAGATCTGCTTCCCTTATTTCTCTTTTTGTTCTAAGACAGTTTCTCATATTGTTCTTTTTTTATGTCTCCTTTCCTCGGGTCTGCTTGTTTGCCTGGCTATGTACTGCCACCTATCAGTGCACTTCGGTGGTGCTTTTTCAGTAAAATTCGTACCCACAGAGCTATGCAGAATCCCTCACTCCTTTCTGATGAAAAAAAACATTTTGGTTAACTTGGCTACTTTCGTTCAGCTATTGAAGGTTGTATAAATTTTTTTTTAGCTAGATCATAATATGGGTGTTTTCAGTTTCCTCCCAGGGATAATTTATTTTAAAACTGCTGTCCTTGGGGCTGTAGTGCTTTAGCCCAAGTTGTCATGTCCTGCCCTCTGGTCAGCCCCATTCTCCTGGCTGAGAGGAGGGAGCAGTGGTCAAGCAAAAGATGCTTAGGCTGTCTGCAGCTGGGGGATATTAGGATGCCTTTGAAAGGTGTTCTGTATTAGAATACCTATTGGTAGTAACATTTATGTGATTTCCCAGATGATACAGAATTATTGGGAAATTTCTTTTGTTTGGTAAGTGAAAATTTATTATTTCTGTGCTCGGATGAAAGAGTTTGCTTGTTTTGTTTTGTTTTTTTCTTTTGTTTTTTCCTCTCTTAATCCACATGTAGAAGCTGATATTTGGTTATTTATTTGTAGATCACAGATCATCTTGTCTGGAAGAAGAGGAGCAAAATTTATTTATTGATGTGGACTGTATGCATGCAGAAGCAATTATGACTCCTATGCCTGAAGGATTATCACAGCAGCAGGTAGTAAGCTTTGGGAAGTATGGTCTTCTTTTTTTTCCTCCCCTTCTGCTCTGCACCAGTGTCTCAGGTGCCTTTGATCTTCAAACATATTGGCATTTTACTTAAGTAGCCATCAAATTCAGAACTGAATAAGTAGTTTTTTGAAAATTTGTGTGTGTGCATATAGTTGCATCAGTCCTGAATTCACCCAGAGGTGCAAAATGGTTTGCATTATAAAATTATCTATAAGAATGATGTTGTTTCACTACCTGAACACTTAAACTAAATGTGATGGTTTTGAGTGAAAAAAGGAGAGAGTTAAAGCATTTTTATTGAATCAGAAAACATTGTTCCAGGTGATTTGGGATTTTAATTTTAAATGTAGACAATATCCTCTTTGAATCCAAAGATTTTTCTTGGTTAAAAAAAATCATCCCCAGTAAAGTCAAGTCTACAGAAGAATTAATTTTGCTGTTTTCCACCTCAAACTGTATAGTCACTGTGGAAATCACTTCAAAAAATACTGAAATCAGCATCAGTTAAGAAATTTTGGCTGAAAATAAATCCCTTGGGTTCATGTTACTGTATTGTTATGACAACTAATAACTGTATGAGAGTTTATGTACTTGTGGTGCCAAGTCATGAGTTAGTTGGTCAGTACGTTAAGAAAATGAGAAAAAAACCAAACTAAGGGGCAATGGAGGGGAGGGCCATATATTCTCAGGATTTTGTTTTGGTTTTTTTTTTACATTTTACCTGGGTGAGGTTCACTTTTCTTTTGTGTTTATCACAGTGAAGTGCTAATCTTGTAACAAAGCAACTATCAAACTGTGTTCCATTACTGTAAGATTTTATTATCATGTGAGATTTCAGCATCGCTCTGAATGTTCTTTTCTTCTTTTCAAATAGGAATTTGAGTTTCACTAGGATAGTTTTGTACAAATAAGTTTACCCTCTTTTGCAAAAAAAAAACCCAGGGTGCTTGTAGTTTGGAGCAAACTGGTAATAGTTGTGTAAGTCATGACAAATATTGCTCATCTGCCCAGGAGGAGCTCTCCAAGTGGGCAGGAATGGGATTAGGAAAGCCAAAGCTCAGCTGGAGCTAGTGAGCTGTGAGAGGCAGCAGTGAAGAGGTTCTGACATGTACATTGGCAACAAAAGGAGGCTGAGAAGAGCACAATACACTACTTGGTGGGGCACGGACCTAGTGATAAAGGGTCAAAACTGTGCCGCCTTTGCCTTGGTTTTCAGTAGTGAGGCTTGTCCTTGGGACTCAGCCCATGACCCCAGAGACAGGTCTGCTGGGGTGAAGGCTAATCTGCAGCTGGGGAGCTGAGGCCATCTGGACATACAGGTTTCTCTGGGACCAGATGGGATGGATGTAAGGATGCTGTGGGTAAGGCCTTTCTCAGTCATCTGAGATCACAGTGATCAGAAGACTGTGAAAAAGTGTCACACTCTTACCTACAAGAAGGAGAATTGAGTCTGGCCTTACCTCAGTCCCAACTGATGGGCACTGAAACTGATGCAGCACATTCTCTTGGGAGCTATGTCTGTGTTCAGTAGGACAGGAGGGTGAGTGAGGAAAAATCAGCATAGATGGGCCAGAGTCCATTTGTGCACAACCAGCTTGAGCCTCTTTGAGGTGACTGAGGGGAGAGGTGATTGTGGCTTTCAGCTGTCTCCTGAAGTATTCCTGTGTGCTCCTTTAGGTGAGATGCCCTCTGTATGGATGGACTAAAGGTGGGTAGAAAACAGGTGAGGATGCCACACTCAGTGAGTCCATAGTACAGAGTGCAGTAGGTGGTCAGTGTTAGTGCTCGGGAGCAGGCACGGGCCTCTGGCATGTAAAGCCCGTGTGAGGCATCTGGATGCCAGCTGCAGTGCACATCTGGAGGTGATGCCAAACTGCAGGGGTGCAGCAGCTGTGTGGGGGAGGTTGGCTGCTGGTCAGCAGGGCTCTGGTGGGCTGGGTGCACAGAAACACTGGAGCAGTTCAGGGAGAACAGCATGGCCTGGCTGTAGGAACCCCAGGCCAGGGCCCCCTTCCAGCCCAGCTGCCCTGTCCCAGCAGAGCTGCTCTGTGGACATGCTGGCTTCAAACAGCAGGTGGCATGATGGCTTCTGTTTAAATCCTGGTGCCTGCAAGTACTGAGGCTAGGGCTCATATCTATTGCAATAACCTGAAGCCACTACTAAATATTCTTTTTGTATATTATAGAGCCTGAAATTTTTATTTCTACAGATGTTTATTCTTTTCAGAAGAATGATCTGTGACTAAGAGTAGGATTAGTATTCTTCACCAGAGCCACTGATCCGCTATACCAAATAAGACACTGCTAAATCCATTCTAAACACAGATTAGACACAACTAATTTTACTGCATATATCTTAAGCAAAGCCTCAGATAATTTTGAAGTCCTCCTTTGAAATGCCAGTACCTGAAAGAAAATTCTCACATAACCTGCATTTAATAATGCAAAATACAAGTGTGGAAAATTTAAAGGCAGTGGGTGAGCTGGATTAGGAAATGGATTTGGGTGAAAACAAATCCTTGTAACCAACAAGAAATCTAATTGAAGGCAAGAAGCTTAAGTTCTAAACCAGACTGGTTCTCCAGCCCTTCCTGTCCTGCCACCCACATGTCCATACAAAGTGCATTTCAGCTGAAGCAGAAGGTGGAGAAGGAGGTGTAATAAATAGCCTGTAGTTTAGCATGAACTATGGTAGCTTTTCCTGAAGGTCTTACAACTGTGTCAGTGCATATAAATATAGATAACATGGGGGTCTTCACTTATGCATGGTAATGCCCAAAAGAAAATGCTAACTTGGATACTTTCTCAGTTTATATGGCCTTAACTTTAAAAGACACTTAGTATTTGCTTGTTTGCCCTTTATGTTGCTCCAAATAAATTTATAAAACCTATTAAAAATAAATTTTAGGACTGATTTTTGAAAAATTGTTTCCTATTTTGTTGTAGCAAATCACTGAAGTAGTCAACATTATCTTATACCTATGATTGTTTCCATTAATGCCTGCATATATACATTTAAGGTGCATAAGATTATAGAATATTCTGATTTGGAAGATCACCAGGATCATTGAAGCTCAGCTCCTGGCCCTGTACAGGACAGCCCTAAAAATTGCACCAGGTGCCTGAGAGCATTGTTAAACGCCAAAATCAAAACATAAGTTTCAAAAGTTAAGCTTGGACTTAAAACAGTCAGAAAAAAATACAGATATTGGTACAATAATTGTTGTGTTCTTTAAAGTAAGTACTTTTAGAGTAATAGTAAATTAAATTACTTTTGAAGAGGTACAGCATTATTTTATTGCAGTTCCAGTATTGAAATTGCTTTGTGTTTCTTTTGATTTATTAGTGTGAGAATTTTATCATCATCATTTCCAACTATAACGAATGTGTTTACCTGATTAGAGCTTTGGACAAAACTTTGTTGTTTCAACAGGTTGTGAGAAGGTATATTTTGGGCTCTGTAGTTGACAGTGAGAAGAACTACGTGGATGCTCTCAAAAGAATCCTGGAGGTATGCCTTAATATCTTTTGCATTTTAAAATTTTGAATATTTGAAAAAGAATCATTAAATATCATTAAAGAATCTTTCCTATGACTAACACAGATTTTGCTACAGATGCTTCATGCCAAATGTTCAGTGATTTTGTGTGTGTGTACTATTGCATAAGTTTCTTTTTCTGCTTATAGAAGTCCATTTTTTTGTTTTTTTAAATCAGTTTGCTTTTTTATTTTTCCACAGCAATATGAGAAGCCCCTTTCAGATATGGAACCAAAGTTACTGAGTGAAAGAAAACTTAAGATGGTGTTTTATCGAATTAAGGAAATTCTTCAGTGCCATTCGATGTTTCAGATTGCGCTGGCGAGTCGTGTCTCTGAGTGGGACTCTGTTGAAATGATCGGTGATGTCTTTGTTGCTTCAGTAAGCAAATGTGTCAGAACAGATAATCTGTTTTTATTTTAGTCTTGTTTTTCCATCTCCATGTCTTTCTAACTTAGCTGCTTTATTCCCATGTTCTCCAATGCCTGTGGCAACTGTCAGAGTATTCATGTACTATCCTGATAAGAAAACTGACACCAGCACATGTCTTCAGCTCGGTTGGCAGATGTGAAAGGATTGTGAGAAAAGTTTTCAGGCTTTGATTAATCTTTCAGACATCTAAGTAAACAGTTTATTTTTATGAGAAATTAGAGATTCACAAACCCACCAAAATTAAGTTGAGACTGAGGCTCAGCATCTCGTAAAAAATGGGTAGTCATACCTAGTAGTGTGCAAGTAGAAAGAAACCACAGTAGGTAATGTCCTGAATTCCTGAGTTTGAGCTGAGATGGGGCACTGATAAAGAGCATTTGTAAAACCCTGTCCCATCGTTAATGGAAGTCCATTTACTAAAGGGCAGAATTAGCTACTGCTTTAAATTAGAGAAACAAGAAACAGCTTTGGTTGATAGAAAGATGTTGTTCACCATGGAAGTGTGGCTCGAAGACTCTGCCTGCCTTCTGGCTTGAATGCTTTGTTTTATTGCTGAAAATTGCAGGTGCTGAAAATCACCACCTTTTCATGCCTGCTGTAAGAGAGCTGGGATCTGATCACAGTTCACCCAAAATGAAATAGTGACTGAAGATTTGTTGTTTAAAGCAAACCTGCCTTGTTGTGACTGAAGCAAGTTAGGTAGTCTTAATGAGACCAGCTCTGCAAAAGAGAGGGATGAAGTTACCAAGAAGGCAATGGGTGGTGATCTTACCATTCCCATGACTGTTTGCAGGCCACACAATCTGTTTACTTTTTTTGGTTAGCCCTTAATAGTTGAAGTCAGGATGTGAAGGCCCTGGGACTTTGCTGATTCACTTAAGCTGGAAGACAGGTAGTGAGATGATCAGAGGATCTCAGTTGTCAATTTGAATCTTGATGCCCTTTGATTGCCCACAGTCCTTCTGTCCCAGTGTTCTAGCCAAGATGAAACAATTTCTGTGAATACATTTCTTGCCATTCACAGCTGTTATATCTTTCTGTTTCCAGCCTGTCCTCTGCAGAAAGATTATCTTGGGTATTACCAGTATTTCTGTATATCCAGCACTAGGCCAAGTAAAGCCTTTAGTTCTGAGTGGGTCCCTAACAGCCAGAGGTCTCTATAGCTGTGCTGGCAAAGGTCTTTTGTACTTTTAGTCAAGATTTGCCTTTTTTTCTTTTCAGTTTTCTAAATCTATGGTATTGGATGCATACAGTGAATATGTAAACAACTTCAGTACAGCAGTTGGGATTCTCAAGAAATCTTGTGCCACCAAACCTGCCTTTTTAGACTTTTTAAAGGTTAGTTCGTTTTTAAAATAGTTGTGCATATGCGATAAATAAGAAAGCAGGAGTTATAATTTGGGAGGAAATTTGACTGCTGATACTGTATATTGTCTCACTGTTTTTATGGACTTAAGGTCTGTTTTATGGATTTAGCACAAACAGACCCCTTCCAGTATTGTATTTTTGGCATAGTAACATGCTGTTAGATCTGGGATGTATTTTGAAGTGCACAGTAGTTTTATTGTTATTCAAATCAGTTTATTGGTGTTTGCTTTACTTTGTTTGTCTAAACATTAGGATTCTTCCATATCTGGTGAGTTTCAAATAGTTCATCATATGAAGCCACTTTTTAATTTGAAATTTATTTTAATTCTGATTTGTTTATTGTGTTGTGAGAGGTAGTGCAGCTGGATTTCCATTCTACAACAATTTCCCTGGATTTTGAAGATTGTGTTTCTGGTTTGGGGTTGAAATTGGTAATTTTTTTGCAGAATACGCACTGCCCTGTTGCATTTGATGCTTGTCATTATATGTCTGGAGAGCCTGGCACACACAGTAGGAGTGCTGTGAATCCCTAGGGTTGGCACCTTACAGACAGTACACAGAATCCATTGCCAGGCTTTTGAGTTGTCTGTGACATTGCTGAGAGTCTGAGAGCTCAGCTTGTCTCATCCCCCAGGCATCCTGGATTGAGTTGTGCCTCTCAGAGCTGGTCAGCCTGTCAGGTCTGTTACAGTGGTCCAAAAAACAGTAAAAACTGGGTGCCTAGTGCAACTCTTAGGTTCTATAGAGAAGGGTTGCAGGGGTTTGCCTTCAGATCTTTAACTAACAGCTTTTTAAACTGTGGACAACTCTGTGCAGGATGATATTTTGGAAGCCTGAAGCATCTTGAAGATCAGATTCTCTAGTGAGCATGTTGTCACAGGTTAAGCATGTTCTATGTTAAAAGCATGTTTTGCCAATAGAGACATAATCCACTCCTCTCATCACTGCTTGTCAGGGCCACACTGGTTCTGCTTGCAGAAGCACAGCCAAACTCTGATGACAGATGACACTTCTTTACCTTTCCTTTTTTATTTTTGCCCACCAGCAGTGAAGATCAAAATCTTCATTACTGCTGCTTGGAAAAAAATAGATGTTTGTATAGATAACTATGGAAATAAATTGTGGAGCTGATGGTTGTAGCAATAAATTGCAATTTAAGCACAACAACCAGCATTGTTTAGAATTGCTTTGTTTTTAATATTGAGTATTTCCTCTAGCCTTCCTTTTTATGGCCATTTCTGGCTTTTTTTCCACATGCAAAAGAAATTTGTCTGGTTTTATCTGCCATTCACAGTAACTAAAATAATGGATTCTAACATTTTTATTTCCAAATATAAATCAACATTTTTTCTTTGATTCTTCAAATAAAGAATTTGAAAATCTGTTTGAATAGCACTGAGATTATGATGTTTTTATTAGATTTCCTCTTAAAAACCATAGGTAGGTTTTTAGATTTATAGGTGCTGCATTGCTGATGTGGCTTTGGCCAAGCTGTATTTATTAAAGAGGATATTTCAGTTCAGTGGCAGACCATCATTTTGATCATGATGGGTTTTTCTAAAAGATTTAATATTTTTTAAGTAAATCTTGATAGTAAATGGAATCTTTAGTCTTCTTATTATAATTAATGTAAGCAATATAGAATAATATTTAGGAAATATTTTCCTTTCATTCTGTAACTGGTGGAAATGTGCTCACGGTAGTAAATGTGTCTTTCTTGCATTGCAGCAGTGTCAGGAGTCAAGCCCTGATCGCATTACACTGTATGGTTTGATGATGAAACCTATCCAACGTTTTCCACAGTTCATTCTACTATTGCAGGTAAATAGTGTTTACCAAAGGGAGGCTCCATTTGCATTCTTGCATAGTTTACCCTTGGGATTGCATGGCAGCTGTCTTCTGCTAGAGGATCATGTTCAGTGGAAGTGACCACTAGATCATGGGGAAATAAAGAGAAATTTCAGTGCATTGAACATGCTGATCTCATAGCCTGATTGCAGGGACAGGCAGTAAGGGCACTGCAGGAAAGCCTCAGTAAACTAGATTTACTATAGATTACTTGCTTAGTAAAATAAAGCTTATGAATAGTTTTCTAGTAAAGATGTAGCTCAAATATGCTTCTTGTTTATATCTGTTTGTTAGCTAGTAACACTTCAAAACATTACTAGGAACTTAGTGGCATTTCTTTCTATTGAAGAAAAAACTAGAGGATTAAATTCATACCTTGGATAGTTTAGGAAATTCATACCTTGGATAGTTTAGAAACTCTCTGACTATTGGCTCACAAGACCTGCTAGAGTATGTTCAGCTTTCTTCTGACCTGCAGCGTCTTGTTTCTTCTCCCCTGGAGACTGTGGATTGGACAGAGTCCTTGGGTCTCATGTCAACAGGCAGTCAAGCTGCAGGAAGGGCACAATTCCCCAGTATAGACCTGCTACAGAAAAATTTGCTCTGTTTTTACCTCCTTCCAGACCACAGCAGATCTACCCCAGTAAGCACTTTTCGTTAGCTATGTTCACAGGTGCCAAGAGCGGGACAGGCTTTGGGCTGCAGGTCTGGGAATTACTGGAGGTAAAGGAGCAGAGGTAATCATGGGGGAAGCATGTGAATTGCAAGCCATGGTGAGAGTTTTTGAAATAGCAGGAACGATGAATTTTATTGTGGCAGGAAGATTTTTAAGTGCTCTAGGAATGGAGATAAAGTATAATTCCAACTGTTCCTACTATATGCCTGCAAAAGAGAAAAAGTTGGAGGAGCTGTTGTGACCTTAATGATGTAATGTCTCCTACTTTAGGAGGAGTATGCTGTCCATGTTTTAATGAGGAATAATAACAGTAATAAAGATAATACGATATTATTATGACAAATACCAGAAAAGTTTCATTTAAAATCATTGTTTATAGACACATACATATTACAGTATATTACTGATTGCCAGATTGTTTAATACTATCTCCCTTCTCTGTAATTTTGTTCTTTAAATAAGGATGTATGTGATCCCATTCAGTATATTTTAAAGAATTACTATGATATTTGGGAAGTTAAGCAATGTGCTGTCTGAATATTCATTAGGTGCTTATTGGTCTTACTATTTAGTAGTACTTAAGAATGTAGTTGTAACTGTACATTCTGTAATCTTTAAACCTGACTTTGAAAATAAATCCAATGGTTTTTTTTTTGTTTTGTAATTACTTCTCAGGATATGTTGAAGAATACTAATAAAGGACATCCTGACAGATTACCTCTACAAATGGCTCTTACAGAGCTCGAGACATTGGCAGAGAAGTTAAATGAAAGGAAAAGGGATGCAGATCAGCGCTGTGAAATAAAACAAATAGCGAAAGCAATGAATGAACGTTACCTGAACAAGGTAAGGCAAGTAGGAAAGTATAATGGAGATGGAAGAGTCAGTTTCTGGGCCTTGAGTAATCTCTACAACAGACACCAAAGAGACAGCTATGTTGGTTTTTTTCTATAGAGATCAAGATGTCATGTAGAATGACATGGGGTCATTCTAGTGGTAGATATGAGATGTCACCTGCCTCTGGGACTGAATAGGCTCACCACTGTGTGCTGGAATAGGCAACACACTGAACTTGTCTCAGCAGTATTGGTGTTCTGTGGCAGTGTAGGAAATAATAATATATAGTAAAATTTCTTGTACGTGTTCTATGTGGAAAAAATCAACTTTTAATTTATCCTGGAAGTGGGGAATTACTCCTGTGTAAAGAAAGGGTCCATGTCCTTATACAGCAGTGCTTCCAACTGTGAAGCATTTCAGGATGTGCTATTGAATGCATTCAACATCTTCCTTGTTTTAGGGAAAATCTCCATCTATGTCATCCATATATTTGCATAATACAATAGAAATGTCTGAAAAGAACTCTAGAAGACATTCAGTAAGAAGGAAGAAACAATCTATTTTATTTGAGTTCTTTTATTAGTAGCTGTCTATACTGTGGATATATATATCCTTGTTTTATTTGTATCATAAATGATTCCTTCTTTCCCATGAAGTGAGGCATAAATGCTTCAATTACTGCTTTTGTGAAATTTCAATTTATTATCTTGTGGACTCCTTCTGAGGTAGAGTAGTGGGGATGTGTTGAAGGAATGAGGTTGTTTTTGGAGGTACAAAAAAGCACATCTTTTAGGAAAGCAATAGTCAACCAGAAACTCTTATTTTAAGCTATGGAATGCTGAATTAATTTTCATACTGGAACAGTATTTCCATTCTAAGTGCATTAGAAGATGAATTCAGACATTTTACTTTCTTTTCTCATTGTCATAATCCTGCTTCTTGAAGCAGCTATTAACCATCTGCAAATAGTTCCAAGACACAGAATGTGCTTTTGAAGAGGTGGCCCAGGTTACCTTTTGTCAGTTGATATTGATTGCAAGATTTTTTGTTTTATGCAGTGGGTGATTCACTGATATATACATGGGTTGTAACTCCAAATCTCACAGGGTCCCACAGGCCTTGTGTGTTAATATCACAGAATCAGCTGAGTTGGAAGGGACCCACATGGATCATGGAGTCCAGCTCCCGTCTCTGCACAAGACGAGCCCTGAGAGTCACACCAAGTGCCTGAGAATTGTCCAAATGCTTCTTGAACTATGTCAGGCCTGGGGCTTTGACCACTACCCTGGGGAGCTGTTTCAGTGCCCAAACACCCTCTGGGTGAAGAGTCCTCCCCTCACAAGGAAGCTGTAGACTGCAGTGAGGTCTCCCCTCATTCTCCTCCACACTGAACAGATCAAGTGACCTCAGTTACTCCTCACACAGCTTCCCCTCAAGGCCTTCACCTTGAGGCCATTGGCTTTGGACACTCTAATACCTTCATATCTTTCTTACATTTTGGCACCCAAAACTGCACACTATATTCAGGTGAGGCCAGTGCAGAGCAGAGTAGGACAATCCCTCCCTTGCCTGGATGGCCCCCAGGACATGGTTGGCCCTTCTGGGCCTGTATATTTGCATATACAGTTTTGGAACAATGCCAGCCAGGGTGAAATAGGTGGTGAAGGAGGTGGTTGATTAGAAAATTAGTGAGTTATGGACCATTTAATTCTGTTGGATACTATGGAGATGTGTTTGACATGTAAGGGATTGGTTCATGCTTGCACACAGTGGCTGATCCTCAGCCCTTGAAGGCAAATGTCAGGAAGAGTTTACATGCCAAGAATCTCTGGGATGTGTCATCTTCTCCACAGTCTGTGACACCCTGGAAGCTGCACTCCTCAGCTGTGGAGCCCAGGGGGACAGAGCAGGCTGAGCACACTTCCTCCTCACACTCTGGCTCCCACTCTGGGCAGCTGGAATCATGTGTAGGTCTTCAGTGGACTATGAAAGAAGAGACTAAGGAAGGGAATCTCAGAAATTGTGGAAGAAGTAATTTATTTTGCCAAGAAACCTTAATCAGTGTGGAAGATTCCCAGAGCAACCATGGTCTACGTTAAGATGCAAAGCCCTTTAAGTCCACATGGATGACAGCAGAAGTTACTGTTTTTCTGAATCAAAAGCAGATTAATAAAGAGACCTAATTCCCTTGGCAAATCCACCTGCAATCACTTGTGCTAGGATGGCAAGTGATAACCCATTGTTTTTGCTTTTTGTGTGCTGGATGTTGGATGTACTGTGTGTAATATACAATGCTGATTGTTTTCAAAATCCAGCTACTGAGCAGCGGGAACAGATACCTCATACGGACTGATGATATGGTTGAGACAGTTTATAATGACAAAGGAGAAATTATTAAAACCAAAGAACGGCGCCTTTTCATGTTGAATGATGTGCTGATGTGTGCAACAGTGAATATTCGGTAAGATTTCACTTACATTATTTAGATGATTGTTTGAACTTCAGATGGAAAAAAATGACACTTAATGAATTGCTTTTGTGCTGTTGTATTTAGTGTGGCTAATGATTTCTAGGAGTAGTCATAATAAAAGGATCACTAGCTTTATTATAGCCCTCCAAATTGCTGGTTGGTATTTGGAAGTTCTAGAGTAAATTTGTCAGAAAATTCTATCACTTGGAGATTACAGGTAGAAATGATCTGTAGTGTCTTTTTACTGCTATGTATTAGTGCTTGGTGGAATACAGGCATGCCCCAAGGTAAGACTTTGTTCTCTTCTTCCTTAAATTCAGACTGTAACACACACAGATTTGTAACTTGACACAATTTGTAAATACCATCCTCTGCAAAGCAAACAACCTCCAACAAACAAACAAACAAAACAAAATCCATAATGGTAATGCGGGTTGCCAAAAATAACCTGGAACTTGCTAACAAAGTTCCAGATGGGGAAGGGTTATTATCTCTGGAAGCAAACATTGAAAGATTAAAGGTGAAATTCTTTGAAAAAAGCCTTTTTTTTCATAGTTCCTTCTGTGCTTTTGTTGGCTGTAGCTATTACTGTTACTAAATGTCTATGTATGCCAAGGTTTTGTTTGCATTCATATGTTGCTTGTATCATAAATTGTTTTATGTAATGGTACATTCTGACAAAGAAAATGTAGATTGTTACAATCTTCCAAGAACAGCTTTTCTTAAGCATAATATGAGTTGATATCTTAATTCATTACTGAAGTATGAATTCTGTACATATATTTCTAAATGTGTGATTGCTTGGTCTCATGTCCATGTGAGTGAGAAGTGCCATGTAATAACTACACTTCAGGAAATTAAGAAGCTCATGTCAATTATCCTGTGGTCCTTACCTTTACGAATTCTTTACTTTCTTAGTAACACTTGAATATTGTTTTTAACTGTTCATATTTTATCTTCTTTCATACCAGTACAGTCTTGGATTTTCTGTATTTGTACTTGAAGCAGCAAACTGCAGTCTGTTTTTGTTTTCCATTAAAACGCTAAAGTTAAAAGTTCATGATCATGCCAGATCTCTGACCCTCTGAGGGTTATGCCCTCTGTAAAAGTATGTATCTTTTGCAAGCCATAGAAAATTCTTCTGTAACCAGTGGACCCTAGGCACCTGGGACATCTGAGTGCTTCTGCTGTGCAAAAGATAGATATTTTTACAGGTGACACGACCCTCAGGTCTTTCTTTGCACACAGCGTAGATGACCAGCAGGAGCTGGTGGCCTGACTCTGAAGTAACAGTAGTTGGATGGGGTGGATGCTATCTCTAGTGACTGAACAACTGCGTCCTGCCTAGGTTTTTTTGTTACTTCTGAGCTAGGTCAAGAATTTATAAATATTTGCTTAAGTTGTGGCAGTTGTGTTCTTTGTTCGTACGTGCTTCCTCATTGAAACAAAAGTCTGTGTTGCAGATAGGTAGCTGACTAACTGAATTTCAGCATTTAGTTACTGTTCTCAATAAATGCGTTTTGCTGATTTCTCTCAAGCAGCTGACTTCTGGATTTCAGTCATTCATTTTGTGAACTAAACCTTTTTTGCTTACTTTAACATCTCCTTTGTCCTTTATAATAAATGTTTGTTACATGTTCTTGAATGGGAATAAGAGAATGAAGGAAACAAAGTAAAATTAGTATTTATGTCGTTTCTATTCCTAAGGAGCTTCCTCAGTGTGCTCTTTGCTCTGAAATGCCTGTTGTGATGCACGCTTCTTAAGCAGGAGCTCAGGCAGGATTACTCTTGGAAGCTGCAGCAGTTGCAGAGGTCTGCTGTATAGAACAGTCTGGGCTGTGGAACTTGGCAGAAATGTTGGCTTGTCAACCCTTCAGTTGTCCTTCCTGTTCCCAGCGGTCATTCAAAGGTTCCATCATCCCTACTTCCCTAAACATAGCAGTTAGGGCCCCAAAAGAAGTCTTTCAAAAAAATCAGGAAAATGTGGAGCCAAAGTATAATCCCAAGCACTTGTATTAGGATTTCAGAATGCACATTGATCTTAAAAGATGGTCACTTATGTTTTTCTATAAAGGTGTAAGGACTGTTGTTGGCAGTCCTGTGGTGCTTGCACACAAGATTGTCTGCACCTGCATGGCTGTTCTTTGCACGCTGAGAAAGGTCATTCACAAAAGTCAGCCTGATACATGTATTTGCTTCAAGTCGTGCACTGTACTCAAGCTGATTAACAGCAGATTTTAGAAGCTAAAATAATAAATAGTATACTCTGAAACACAATTGCTTGTCACAGCTATAATTTGTGCATCTTCCAGCTCTTCCTATGAAAGCAGTGGCACCACGACAACTGGCCAGAGGTATTTACTGAAGTGGAGTGTACCGCTGGGACAAGTGGACGTCATAGAGTATGGCACCAGTGAGGGCCAAGGAGACAACTGCAGGTTCCCACCCCAGCTCCCTGCTGAAAATGTCATCATTAACTCTAAGCCAAGTAAGTGACAGGAGTTACTGACTTTTACAGACTACTTTCAAATCTATAGTTGAAATTCAGTGAGCTACTGAAAACAAAGGAAAGCATTTTGTTGGTGAAGATTTCTGTAACGTGAAGAGTAGTAAAGCCTCTTTCTTTGGAAACTGAGAATGCATAAAGTGACAGCCAGGCTCCTGCCTTGCAACATGAATTACTTGCATTTGTCGTAGATTAGAATTTTATGCATGAATGAGTAAAGAGTTCCAAAGCATGAGAGAGTGCTGACATGCAAAAATGGGAGTTTGATGTGGTGCACCAGTGGTCTCATGGTCACTGGTTCTGCCTTTGTTCTTTATCCCACAGTTAGAGCAAAGAAGTTTCTCTCAATAAAGATGACCAAACCATCCTGTTGCTGTGATAAAGAGTCTGGACACAAGTGGTTACTGCAGGGTAGTTCTTTCAAGCCCATGGCATCTTGCCCTTCAAACTTGTGCTTCAGAAAAAAACATTAATGAATGTTTTTGAAACTATATGTTAATAGGTAATTTCCTCCTAGCCTCTCTCCAAAAATGACCTCAAGCTCTGAATTTACAAATTCTTCTGTGCTAGTTAATCCCTCCTACACATCTGCCAACTGCTTTCAAGAGAAATATGAATTTTAAGACTTTGCTTATTAGCTAGACTTTCATATATAAGGAGTTTTTTATATGCCCTGTTTATTGCCTAAATATTGTAATATTAAATGCATTGAATATCTCTAGATTGTAATTTGATTCCTATTCATGGATTATAATTCACATGGATTTCAGTGCTAGTAGCTCTAGGCATTATTTCACAGTACATTTATTTAATATTGCGCCCTTGGCTTAATGAATTTTCCCATAGTTGTGCTATAAAGAGGCATAAATGCTACAGCATCAGTGTAACATTTACTACCCCCTGTATTCTCCAGGATGGTTTTTGTCAGGTCTTCCTGCTCCTCCTTTTGTAAATAGCTACAGAAAATTTTATGGGCACTTATGTCTTTATTTCAAGAGTGACTTAATTCTTGTAACTCCTTTTAAGCAATAAGGGACTACTTGGAGAATGAGATTAAAGCCTTTATCTTATCATTTACCAGCTGCTGTATGCATAACCCTGAGAGAACTATATAAATAAGTCTATTTCTTAGAATTGGGGGTCCCTTTTGTAGGTGAGTGTGGGAGGAACAGATTGTTGAATATTCCTACTATGATTTTGTGCAACAGTTTCACAGCTGATAAGACCAAATCCTTGCATGTCAGCATGGTTGTATGGGGAAGAAAAGCATGAAGGGAGAAACAAAAACTCCTTACCAAAAATTCATTAGAACTTACTTGAACCTCTTAGCTTTTGAGGTTTTTCAGCTTCATCATGTTTGGTGACAAAATCACACAAGAAGAGAAATGACTTTGTACATCATTTGTAAATCAACCTTCAGGTTAAATGGTACTCTGTAGGTAAAATGTGAGCTGAACTAGTTTTTCTCTTGGTAAGCTCTGTTATATTAATTCAGTCTTCTAATAAAAAGGATAAAAAGATAAGAAATAAAAAGGATTTGAAGGATACTGGGTATACTGAAAAAATCCTCCCTCTGGTTTAATCAAACTTTCTTGGAAAATGATCCAACTAAATTGAATATAAACAATCATGAAGGAGGAACATCATAGCCTTTTTTTTGCACATACTACTGTGTTTGCATTAGCTGTTACTCTGAATGCAGAGTTGTTTGAACTGACTTTTATAGACAAGTCTGAATACACACCTAATTATTAATTAGGTAATTAGTTATTCTGTGGAGTTGTCTCCTTAGTTCCAGTTTAACCTGGCTGCTAAAGATTACAGAAGCTCAGAAAGCACAGTCTTCCTGCAGAGGTTCAGACTGGTAAGACTGTGTACCGGTTCAGTGTTGCTTCTTATTTACACCCACCAAGTTGCTGCATTTTATAGTTGATGATGACATGATCTTTAATATGGTAGTATCACATCATTAATGAGACTACTGGATGTTTACTACACGTTGCAAAGTGGTAACAGAAAAATCCTATCTACTCTGCCTGAAATTTAATATCTTTGCAGTCATCATAAAATTATGTCTCCCTCTGTTTTCAAGGTATATGATGAAATCCCAGTGGCCTCATGGTATGTGGTTTTAATAAAATATAGTGATCAAGAACAGTTTGGAATGCTACAGGCAAAATCCTGAGACACAGAACCGTTTCTCAGACCTGATTTTCAGCTTACATATCCAGTTTGTGGGTACTGAAAAGATACAGAATTATGATGATTCTGTGTAAGCAGTACATTAAGTAGTAGAGGGATTGCCTCTTGCATTTCTGGAGGACTGAGAATAGTTGGTTAGTATCTGCCACATGCCAGATTGAGTCCTTGACTCCTATAAGGTTGGTATTCTGACATTGCTGCTGTGATTAGCAAGGATTCTTGACGGATTCAGGTTGTGTTCTTGTGAGGATTACTGATTATTAGTTACATTTCCCTTATCATGGCACTTTTTTATCCACGAAAACATTTTGTGTGAGTAGATAGCTGTCACAATTGTATCTTGCTGCTTATTTTTGAGTAAATGCAATTGGTGCTTCCAGTTTTCTGTGATGTTGCAAGAAAAAGCAGTTTAGTCTAAAGACACAAACTTTACTTTGGGTGCTGAATTAATAGCTAAATTTGAATTAATCTTGTACAGCCTGTAATAAGCAACTGAAAGGTTGAACAATTTTATGAGTATGAATAAATCAAAGACGTGCTTCAGTACTGTTCTAAGATGAAAAAGCAAGGACTGTGTGAACTTAGTTTTCACTTGGCAAAATCATCAATGGGCAGTTTTATACCCCACTGAGTTTTGTTTATCAGTCTTTTGTCTCTGGATTCTACAGAAGAACACACTTAGGGGTTGTTTTTTGGTTTTACGCTGTTTGTGTTTTGGTAGGAAAAACTGTGTGGCCTGAGGGTGTATGGGGCAAAACAGGAAAAGTTTACTTGAGTGTATTCTGCTGTACTGCCCTGTCCTTGGTGTGCTCTTGCCTTTTTCCTGTTCTCCCCTAGCACCAACAGTAGACCAAATTCTCATAGTTACAAACATGAAGAGGGATTGAAGTCTTAGCTGTTTGATGGGGTCCTTTATTTGTACAATTCTAATTTTTTTCTTAGTGGAGCACAATTACAACTTGTTTTTGCTTCCTGCAATCATAACCAATAAACATTTCACAATCTCAGTCTTCAGGAAAAAATGCATTTCTCTCAGCAAATTAGTCGAACTCCTGTTTCATGTATTGGAGTTAGTCTTGCTTGAAAGTCTGTATGACTCTCTGGCACCCCAGACAGTTTTTGTGGAAGCAGTTATTTAATTATGTGTGCCAAAAAGTGTGATGTGTTAATTTTCTTCATAGAACCATTGGCAGAAAGATGTGAGATAATGGTTTTTCCCCTGGTAAATCCATGTATTGTTTCTGTAGGCTGTTGCTGTTCTCTTCGCCCCAGTTAGTCCATGTGCAGAAGGACAGACACAGTCATAGTATGGAAAAGTTGAATTAATATAGGAACAGGGGAATGTTTTCAGTGGCAACAGAAATTTATATATTCTTGTTTTTGATTTACTTGCATTGGTAAGAAATTCACCTCCCTCACCTGGCCGGTGATGCTGTACCTGATGCCTCTCAGGACATTCTGGCCCTCCTGGCTGCCAGGGCACTGCTGACTCAGATTCAACTTGCCGCTGACAAGGATCCCCAGATTTCTTTCTGTTTGGCTGCTCTCCAGTGTCTGTGCTCAGTCTGTTCCTGCATCCAGGGATGCCCTGTCCCATGTGCAGGATCCAGAACTTGCCCTTGTTGAACTGCCTATGGTTGGTAGTTGCCCAGCCCTATAATTTGTCAAGGTTTCTCTGCAGAGTCTGTCTGCCTTCAAGGGAGTTGACAGCTCCTCCCAATTTAGTGTCATTGGTAAAGTTCTCATTATTTCTTGGAGTCATTTATGAAGACATTGAAGAGAACTGAGCCTAAAATGAAGCCTTGGGAAACACCAGTACTGACAGGTCACCAGTCTGGTGCTACCATCCCATTCACAATAAATAACCCTTGGTGCCTGACCCATGAGCCAGTTTCTCACTCATCACATTATGTGTTTATCCAGCTGTGTACTGGACATTTTGAGACCTGTGAGAACCCTCAGATCAATAGCTTTAATGAAATCACAGTTCATATCAACTAGCTTCCCCTGATCAACTATCTGGGTTACTTTATCATAAAAGTAAATCAAGTTTCTTCAACAGGACTTCAGTTTCATGAACTTGTTCTGGCTGGACCAATGACTGTGTTGTCTTTCAGGTGTTTTTCACTAGCTCCAGAATAACCCTTGTAACTTTACCAGACACTGAAGTGGGACTGACAGGCATGTACTTGCCACAGTCATCCTTCTTGCCTTGGGACCATGTTTGCCAGGTTCCAGTTGACTGTGACCTCTTCAGATTCCCAATTGGGTTGAATATGTGGGAAGAGGGCATCAAGGAAGGTCAATGCTACCTGTTCTTTTACAATAAAAAAAAGGATGGATGAAAGCACAGTGAATACAACTTGTTTTTAATATGTCATTGATATGAAATATTATAAATATTTTCCAAAAATTTAAATAGTATAGTCAAAGGGGAAATTCGTAACTTCTTACCAAAATATTCAGTATTAGCCCTCTAGAAGAATCAGAAGACAACCTTTCCTTGCAATTCACCCATGTGTACATAAAATCACTGTGACTATGTGTACTTCATTGCCTTTTAATTGGGAATATAGGAATGGAAATCAAATATACTAGCCAGAGTTTCATTTTATCAGACTTCTGGCACATGTTATGAGTTTGCAGCACTTCATGCAAACTGCTGATGGGTTGTGAATTGTGGTTTGTGCTGAGGCAAATGGCGGTTTGGTGCTGCAGCAACAACCACCCCCAGTTGCCTGTTCTTGGGTCCCCAAGAATGAAAAGGGTGAGTGACAAGT